GCCCACGTTTTAGCGAGGATCCCAGGGAAGGGTGTGGAGTCTGAGTCTTGGCTGGCCTTGGCTTTCAGGTAGGCATGGGTCTCCAGGCAGGTCCCATGGGGTCCAGGCTCAGTTTCCTTTCCTGTAAGCAAGGTCGATTGCATTAACTCAATGCTGCTGCCACATTTTTAAGGTACATAAACTTTTGTTCAGGTGAAATGAAACACAGACAAATATAGAAAAATCCAAGCTGCTCTGGTTGAAGGAGAATGAGGCTTCCCTTTTCCCCATGCCTACCAGGGAACCCCAGGCACTGCTATAGAACACGGTGCCAAAACCACCAAAGCAGCTCATGTCTAAGACCCAGGCAGGCTATTAGCTTCTACACTGGTGTTTTTCAATGTTCAGTGATGTTACGTTTCATCATGAAAAATCACCCAATGACTACCCATTAATTTTATTTCAACGAATGATAAATGATTACATCTCCCTATCACTTATTTGTGCTAGCTCATTAATTGACATAACAATGCAGGCCATGGTAAAATAATCAATAGTATGATGGCAGATTGCATTTTCGATAGATATCTGCAATAACGTATTGCGACCTGTGCTCGTTTGCAGTGTGACTTTGTCTCTCCCCCATGACAAGTGGAGCCCACGTCCTGTCAGTGACACATCTATGGCAAGTCCTTGTTATTTATTACCAATGGTGACACCAACATTCGTTTCCAGCTCAGCCATGGAATTTCTCTCCTATTTTGAAAGAGAATGCAGTGGGCCTTTTTAAGAGTGGAGGAGGACGAAGTTCATGGACTGAAATGGACATTTTTAAATGCAAGACTCCGAACCAAGTTTTCACCAATCCCAGCGACTTTCTTAGCTCACTTGACTTATTTACTTTCTCACTTTTGCTTGGTATTTGAAAAAAATCAAGTTACTGTGTATATTTGTAACCTACTTGGAGTTTATTGTAGAAAGAAATGGGGAAATAAGCAAAATAATGAGTAACTCAATCAACATTGTCCCTCCTTTGTTTGTGTTGGATTTTCAAAATAAAACGAAACTTTTAGACCATAGCTCCTTAAAGAGATCTCACTAAACAAGAGACAAGCCTGGGACGTGGGTGGGCAAGACCTACGCTTCCAGGCCATGGAGATAGAACTTTGAGATGTGGGAGAAGGTGCTGTTCCTTTGTGTCACCAGGTCCTCTGTGACTCTTCAGACTCCTACAGTGTGACAAGGCTTGTCATTCATCACTCATGCTTTAAAGGTCACCTTGTAAGCCGGCATCCTTGTGATCTCTCACACCGACACGCCTGGGGAGATACCACTGGCATTGGAGCATGATCTGCTTAATGCCAAGGCCTTCTTTTCCGTAGGGTACAGCAGGATGCGTTTTCTTTTTGATGTGATCTGGAATGAATGAGAACGAGACGGCTTGTGGCTGGCTCATGGAGGTAAAGACACACAGAGACCTTATTCATAGCCAGGTACTCTTCTCTGCACTTTGTGTACTAACACAAGCAATATCACAAAAGAACGGGAAACTAGGATGGTGCCCCAAGCACCCATGGCTTAAATGAGAGGCACAGAGTGATGCGTGTCCACGGCTGCTCAGGAATTTGGAGGTTAGCTCTATACCTTATACACTTACTTTAGAAATTAGTGCCCTGCGCCAGGTTTCACCTTCTTGCAGACAGAACATGGCCAAAGGGTACAGGAGTCGAATCCACCGACCACCCATGGTATTACAGGGGGCAGATTTAGGAAGACCAGGTCCACGGGCTTTCTTCAGGTCCCCGTGATAAAAGCTACCAGCAGCTGTAACAGCACACGAAAAGTAAAGCTCCACTGTGTGTCAGTCACGACAGTAAAGAAATGAGGAGGAAAGCCATGCTTTGGGCAGAGAGCGACAGCGACGGCTGCAACCAGAGCACCTCCCTGGGAGAGAGGATGGGGCAGCCAGCCAGGGCTGATGTGCCACCCAAGGGCCGGCGCTCTGGGCCCTGGAGTGGCCACTGGGGTTTTTCAACAAAGAAATCCTCCTGTGTTTTGGCTCCACCAGTGTTTTATTAAAACAACGTCAAATTGATAGTGAGCTTTGGCTCTGGACTTGGTTCAAAGGCAAGTGGAGAGAACGTGGAAGCTTAGTCATACCTACGAGCCCTTTGAAATAATCCCTGCTAATGCCTCAGGCTTGTGATGTCAGCTCAGTGGAATTATAGCTCGACTGCTCAGAATTATATAACTAATCACCTTCGGCTTCAGTAACAATTCTGCATCCACCCAAACCTCCTAGCTGCTTCTTGGTGGTAGGCCGTCTGAGGGAACCAATTGGATCCAAATTTATTTTGCTAACCATCTCAGGGCAGCTGCACCCTGGGGCCAGGCAGGCCTCCTATGGCACACTCAGGCCCAGCGGTGAGTGGGGACAGATGGAAGCTGCACTGGGAAGCTATGACGGTCACCGGGAGACTGAGTTAGAGGAACTCTTAAGAAGGTAGGTCGTTCGCTTGGCTCAAGCTGGGGGAATGAGGCCAGTTGAGCGGAAGTATCTTCAGGTCAGGAATGGATGTGTGGCATCACTATTACTTTTGATGTCGGTGGCTGGCATGGTTTATCCGTCCTGGTTCTCTCTCCCACTGAATCTAGCAAGCCTGGCTCAAAATCCTTTTAACACACGGCTCACGGAAGCCACTGCCAATCAGCTGAGGTTGACCCCAAAGGGGAAACTTATTGGCCATCTTGGCTCTAGGAGACCAGCACTAAGGAAGCCTGAGGTTGGGGGGGTCTCCCATTGCGTCAAATGTGGGGTGGGGGCTGGGGACCAGACATCGTGGCCATTGCCTGCTAAGCATGTTTGAGTCTGGTCTCAGGGTACATGGGGTTGAAGCTTATTGCTACTCAAGCACGTGTCTGACCATGAAGACCACGTGCCTGGTCCTCCTGATTTAGACTGCAAGTTCCCCAAGGGTAGGGGTGGTACCCTATTCACCTCTCCACCAGCCTCGGCACCTACCCATGGCGCGGGGTTCTCAGGACACTTGAACTGAGGGAACTGGAAGGGGATGCCCGGAAGAGATGACGTGAGCAGTTTACTCAGTGGAAAGCAACAAATGACTGATCTTTACTTACTCAAGTTCAAATTTTCTTTTATATCCTTTGGAAAGATAGTTTGGGGATAATGGTAGGTTTCCGCTGAGTGGTATTATGCACAGAACCTGAGGTACTGCTCCCCTGCCCCCTTTCTGAAGCCACCTTCCTGCAAAGGGCCTAACCCCGCACGGGGAAAGCCTGCAGCTAAGCTTTGTGTGAGTCCTGGAAACATCCAGATCTCCTAAAGCGTCTCCAGAGGCCTCCAGGCACTTGGATCAGTTACACAGCCTGACGAGCACCCTAACGGCTTCCTCTCTGGTCCTCCACTTCTCCCCAAGAGAGGTTTTGGGCTGAGTCCACATTGCGGCTCACCCAGGAGGTCCTAGGATGGCTTGAGTCCTTGGGTCCTGCCCCCTCCTCTCCTACTTGACCTTCAGGTGGGGTTTATGAGCACGACTTAAGAAGCTCGGCTGCCTGGGTTTGCCCTCCTCCCTGCTCTTGTCTCCCCCGGCACCTGGCTCTGAAGACCGGGCCTCATGACGCACAGCTGCTCCACACCCCGGGCTACCAAACAACCAGGCCGACCCTCCAGGCTTACCCTCCCCTCTGTGTTGCAGGGCAGGAAGCAGCCCATTTTGCCTGATGGACTTCTGTTCTGGCTCTCTGAGGGAGCAGCTCTTCTTGGCATTGTGGTCCACATGGGAAGGCCACAGGACATTGAACCTGGGGTTGCTTGTCCATGCTGACGGAGCACCAGGCAGCTTCGCCTCACTTGGAAGCAGACCTGCCCAGTCCTTGCTCATTGGTGTCCTTTGGCGGCTCCAGTGGGTGAGCTCACTCTCCACCATCTTTGCTGGCACCCATGGAGCAACGGGCTTTAAGGAAAGACAGCCAGACCTATAGTCATGTTTTCCAGCCAGTCAAGGCTCCCCCCTAGTCTTCACTTGAGCTCTAGTGATGAAGACCCTGAGGGATGCGGCACCTCCCCATGGGTTCCTGTGCGGGAGTCAGATGACCCTGAGCTGAGATGTCCCCACGAACAGCTTTTATTGCCACGTTGCCTTCTCCCAAGGCACCCAAACCTCCTCTGTATTGAGGGGTGTGTGCAGGTGCGTGTGTAGGGGGTGGGAGAGTTGAGCTGTGTGGAGGAGGGCAGTAATGTCTTAGAGGACATGTTTCCAGCACTGGGCTGGGTCCTTGGTGTTTGCTCACTGAGCTCTTCTCACCGTTATGGTTCCCGTGTACAGATGCTGAGGCTGGGCACGCCCGCAGGTGCACAGCTGGTCCGGGTGGGCTGGGAGGCAGCCTAGACTGTCTGGCTGCGGGTGCCAGCTGCCCTTGCCCTGCGTCTCGCTCAGCCCACCTGGAGCTCTTCAAGCCATTCAGGAGCCACTCGATGTGCGACAGGGACAGGTCTCCTGTTCCTGACGGTGGCTGCTCCTCCGCTTCTCCACGCTCGACTGCAAGATCTGAGTCCATTGCACCATCTGCCGGGTTTGTTTTTTCCAACAAACCTCGGCGTTTGCCAAGGCCGCCAAAGGAACATCGCCTTGCCAAGGGCACATTTTACATGGCCGAAAAAAGCAACTCTGTTAGAAACCTACTTTTATCTCAACTAAAACAAAAACATTATCCTTTTAAAGAAGAGAATATTATTTTGACTACATTAAAACCATTAACTTTACTTTAATTTTTTTGTGTATGGGGGTAGTGCGTGTGTCCAGGCGTCTATTCAGACTTTGGGAACAGTGACGGGGAGGGGCATTCATTGTCTACAGGTGGTGTCCCTGAGCACCCGCCAACTCCTTTCACACTTACACAATGGTCACTTGTGCGTCTAGATCTCGTCTCCACCAGCAGAGTGGAATATCGGGGGCCAGTGGGGCCAGTGACTCCCATAAAAGTCCTTCCAAAAGTCCCCCTAGGTCCTCAAGGCTTAGGATGTAAGCACTGGGTCTGGTCGAAACGCATCGCCACCTTTTGTGCTAAACCACTCATCCTCCATCCCACAGTCACCTTTACATGATGCCCTCAATTTTCACACAAAGCATCATTTTATGAAACGGTCTGATGTGGAGCATCTGCCCGTTTTTTGTAAAACTGCTAACCCCGTATTCTAGAAGAATACTCCGTCATGCCGTCCTGTGTCCATCCCTTGAAGACGCAGGCAGCACATTCTTTCCACAGCTCTGCCTTAGGAAAAACCTTCTTTCTCTTGGAGCTCTTCCTGTTTTTTAGAGAACAAGGTCTGAGTAATTATCGCTTCTTCTCTTTGTCACAGCTGCCAGAAAGCTGGCGCTAAGTTTTGTGCTGCAATGGAGGTCGTTTATTTCAGCTCAGGTTTTCTGGTGAGGATATTTGCCTCCTTCACCTTATTCTTTGACTCCTGTCTTTTTATTCTTGCTTCAGTGGTTTGTGGATTGATTGCATCCTTCTTAGTGTAAATTGCCCCAAACCTGCTCTGGAAATAGGCCACTTTCCTCTCCATCAGGGATGTGGGCCAGGTGGTGGCTGCGACTTGACTGTCAGAGGGAGCTGAATGTTCTCGGAAAGACGATGCCAGTGTTCCGAGGTAAGAGCTTATCTACCTCTCTGAGCCTCAGCTTTCTCATCTGCCAATAAAGGATAATCTCACCATCCACCTTTCCAGCCCCTGCTGGAAATGGGAGATAAGGTTTTTAAACTGCTGAGCTTGGACGCATAATAGTCTCAAATCTTTATGTCCTTCTTCTGAGTGACCTTGGGTTGGTCTGATCAGGGCTGGCTTCCTGGGTGTGTGACCAGCCCAGTCGCAGAGCCTGTGCTCAAAAAGGCCCTGCACTTGAGGTTAAATGCTCTGTGGTGGCCATCTTGAAATCCTTAATGGTTTTATCTTTGAATTCGCGTTTTGTCAGCTGAAGTCTGATGGGACGATGGAGCCTGTGCCCCCTGCTGGTTCCCTGCGGCCCCTTCCTCTCCCACTCACCGCTGCTCTGCAACCTCCACTGCCCCCGCCCCCCAGCGGAGGCCTGGGTGGGTGCGGGGAGGGTCAGGGTAGGTGCGCTGGGTTGCGGGGTGGTGCTGGGCGCCTTTGAGGGTCTGCAGTCACTCTGCAAATATCCCTGTGCCCAAGCAAGAGTGACATAAATAGCAAATAAAAAGCACCACGACGGGTTGAGAGAGAGACTTCGGAAGAAAAGGGAAAGCTTTTTGAACCAGAGAGCCTGCGTGTTCATTTTGTGCCTGGCTCTGCAAATTACGTGGCTGGCTCCGGGTCTGATGGCTTCTCCTGATGGTTCCAGAGTCCGTCTGTGAGTATCAGTCTTATGAGAGGAAGCTTCCTTGACTTCACTACTTAAGGAGGGGAGGAGGAAAGAAGGAAGGAGGGAGGGAAGGAAGAAGGAAAGGGAGGAAGGAGGGAGGGAGGATGGTAGTTTCATTTCCTAGGCGGCTACCACCAACTGTCACAACCCAGATGGCTTAAAACAACAAAATGTATTATTTCACAGTTCTGGAAGCTGGAAGTCTGAAATCAAGGGGCCACAGGGCCACACCAGCTCTGGGCCCTGTAGGGGAGCATCCTTCCCAGCTTGTGGGGGTTGCCAGCAAACCTAGTGTTCCTTGGCTTGAAGACGTAGCACTTCATTCTCTGCCTCCACTCTCACGCCACCTTCTCCCTTGTGTGTCTCTCCTCTTTTTGTAAGGACACCAAGTGTCTCAGGCAGTCCAGCTGCTATAACGAAATGCCATAGGCTGGGTGGTTTATACACAGCAGAAATTTATTTCTCGTGGTTCTGGAGGTTGGAAGTCTGGGATCAGGGTGCCAGCATGGTTGGGTTCTGGGGAGAGCCTGCCTCTGGGTTGAAGACTGCCAGCTTCTCCTTGTAGCCTCACACGGCAGAAAGAGAGCTACCTAGTTTTCTGGCCTCTTCTTATAAGGGCACTGATGCATTCATGCGGGCTCCATCCTCAAGACGTGTTTACCTCCCCAAGCCGCCTCTGCCGAATACCGTCACATTGGGATTAGGGGTTTGGGGAGACACACTCATTTGGTCTATAACACCAATCACGTTGGATTTAGGGCCCACCCTAATCCAGTAGGACCTCAATTTAACCTGATTACATCTGCAAAGATTCTGTTTCCAAATAAGGTCACCTTCACAGGTTCTGGGTAGACATGGATTTTGGAGGGACACTATTCAGCCCAATACAGATGCACCTGGCAGTTCAGGACCTTTGGTAATTCCAAGAGCTTCCCCTGGATGGAATATAGACAGACAGATGTTTGTTAAAGGGCCATGATACTGAGGGGTGGCTGATAATGACACAGGAGATGCAAACAGGCAGACCCCAAAGAGACCTACAGCAACGAGTTGAGTATTGCCTGTGGGTGGGCTGAACTGCAAGGGGCACCCACACCACATCTGCCAAACTTGCCTGAGTCTCATTCATTCTTGCATCCATCCAACTGTTATTTATTGATGTCTTCTCTAACCCAGGTACCACGCCAGGTGCTGGAATGCAAGGTGAGGATGACAAACTGAGAAGTGCTGTAGAGACAGGGGACAAGGAACTGCCTGGGAAGGTGCGTGAGGGCTTCCGTAGAGGTGCCCATGGAGCCGGGTGTGGAGGAAGGTGAGGCTGGTCTGGCGGGTGGCTAAGAGGCCGTGTGGAGGGCGTCCAGCGAGGCCACTGCGTGGGCCATGTCAAGGTGCTGGGAACCTCAGCCTGTGCGCAGGCTATGGCATGTGGTTCCTTTTGCTGATCGTGGATGGACGGTGGGAGCTGACTCAGGGAAAGGAACTGGGGAGGCCAAACTCAACAAATGATGACAGAGGAGGCAGCTTAACAAACACTTCAGGAACGCACTATTAGTAACAGAAAATAGCTGGAAACGCCCAAATGTTCACCGTGAAAGGAATGGTGAGACAACCGGAGGCGTGTCCCCACAGCCAAGTGCTCTGCTGCGTGAAAAAGAGCAAAGCGAGTTTATGTATGCAAACACGGAAGGAAATCCAACCCAGACTGTCGACTGGAAAAAGCACATTGCAAAAGAATGCATAATCTGGGAGATATACGTATGCAAAGAAAAAACCCAAATGTATATTTCAAAGGCTCTCACATGTGTCCATAATGGCTTCACGTTTGCACGTGCTCAGGAAAAGATCTGGAAAGATAAAACACAAATTGTTATTGGTGGTTATTTCGGGGCAGTGGGAGGATGGTAGCAGGAATGACCGTGGGAACCTACCCTGTTTTTTACATAAAGGTTGTATTCATCCCTCCATTCCTGGGCTGTGACCAGGGTGTGAGCAAAGGGTAGCACCAGCCCACAGCCTGAGAATGCACTTTACTGGGGGCTTGGGAAGAAGGCACAGAAGGCTATCGCCCCAATTATATTTTGACTCTTCTCTTCCAGTCCTCCCAAGCTCGGCTTTCCACTTACACTACTCATGGTCTCTAATAAATGGCGTGCCCCTCATTACTGATATCTGTTTTCTGCTGGCAGGATTAGCGCGTTCTTTGGGCGACCGGCTGCGGTTCTCAAGACTGATAAGGAAGCCTGCACCAATCTCTGTTGGAGGCCAGCGTCCTGATAAGCGTGCTCTCTGTCTCCAGGCATCTTCCGTGGAATCCCTCTGGGAGGGTTTTGCCTGGTACCCTAATGCTCGTGGAATGAACACACCGGAGGCCTGCTGTCTGGGTCTGCAGATAGATGAGGGTGAGAGGCTGCGTGAACCACTTCTTGCTTTGCAAGAAGCAGGCGCTGCCCTCAGAGGTCAAATGACGAGGGTGGTGGCAGGCATTCCGTTGCAAGACATTTGGATGTGTGTCCAACAGCCCTTAGCAGGGCAGGCCTGGGAATCAGGAGACGTGGGCTGGAGTGATCTGCATAGAGTTATGTTGAAGTTTTTACTTTGGCAAAAAAAAGAAAAGAAGAAGAAATATTTTTCTGATGACATATAGCTGAGAAGTCTATAAATGTTTTAGGATGACATAGTCGGGGGGAATCCTGGATCATATCTAAAAAGATGGAGTTTCATAAGAAAAATTGACTTGGCTTCAGGAAAACCAATTGCACAGATATAAGGAAGATGTGTCTGAATGATGGCAGGTGTGTGAGGGGCTGCGGATCCAGAGGATGACGTAATGCATTCAAGGGGTGAGAGACGCAGCCGCAGGATGCATTCACAACAGTGTAGAACGTGGAACGAAGGCACAGAGGACAATCCTGGATCCTCTGGGAAGCTCACTTTCTCAGAACTGGTTGGAAGAAGTAATTTCCCAGGAGTCCCATTCTAGTCACAGAAAGAACTTTCTAAGAGTGAGAGCTGTCCGAGGATACATAGGTTTCCTTGGATCAGAGTGAGCTCCCTGTCGCTGGATGTATGCAAGCAGCCACAGGGCAGGGAGGCTGCACAGGGCCAGGTACCAGGGCTGTTCTCATTGTCATCTTCCTTCCCAGCAGTGGCACCATGCATGGCTCAGACACAAGCCATAATAATTGCCTAATTAGTGAATTGATGAATATCACAAATCTGGAGAAAATCGATGGGCTGCGGTGTTCCTTCCAGGTCTGGATGCTATGGTGCCATGAAATCCCCACGAGAGAAGAGGCATCTACTAGTTTCTTACTTCTGCTGTAACAAATCACCACTAACTTAGTGGGCTAAAACAACACACATTTATTCTCCTGAAGTTCTGGAGGTCAGAAGTCCAAAATCAGGACCCCTGGGCTGAAGTCAAGGTGTTGGCAGGGCTGGCTCCTTACAGAAGCTTTCAGGGTAGATTCCGTCTCCTGCCTTTTCAGTTTCTAGAGGCCACCTGGATTCCTCGACTCGTGGCCCCTTCCTCCATCCTCAAAGCTCTCAGCTCCAAGCTCTTCCTACATCGTCACTTTCCCTTCTCTCTTCTGTGGTCGCATCTCCCTCTGCCTCCTGCATATAAGAACATTTGTGATTCCACTAGTGACGCACCCAGATAATCCAGGGTAACCTCTCCATGTCGAGAGAGATGTCTCCATCTTCATCACATCTGCAAAGTCCCTTTTGCCACATAAGGAAAATTCTCAAGTGCCAGGGACTAGGGTATGGCCACTTTCGTGGTGGGGGAGGGGGGGAGCATGAGTTATTTAAATTACCACCGGGTGGAAGAGAATAAAACCAGGAGTGGGTTATTGGAGGCACCTCCCTGTCTGGGGAAGGGAAGAAAGTGGAACTAGGGAAGGAGGCAGAAGAAAGAAGCCACGAAGTTCAGAGGACCCACGACCACGTGGTGACCAGCAACCTGGGGAGAAGGATACGGGGGAGTTGGAAAGAGAAGGTGGTGGCCAGGGTGGAGAAAGATCAGGGTTTGGCCTGACTCTTTCACTGTAGCATCCTCAGTTCCTGGAGCTGTGCCTGACATATAGTAGCTTCTCAATAAGGGTGCGTTGAATGAATGAATAACTGGGGATGTTGCTACTGGCTGAAGAAACAGCTGTGCTGGTGGGCCTGGGTCAGCATCTTCCCAAGGCCGGGCTCTGTAAATCCCCGTGGGAAGCTGAGATACGGGCTGGGCATGACCTGTGCCAGAATGAGAACTGGGCCCCGACGAGGCTAGCCTCTCCACCTGCTCTGTTTCAGAGGCTCGGCGGCCGCCTTCAGAGCATGAGCTTTGTGTAAGGTTGCATTGAACCCAGAGAAAAGGTGAAGGCATGCGGCCCGGAATACTGATGGGGATTTGGCACGCAGAAGTGAGAGCTCTGCGCAGTTTAAGGCCTTGGGTTTTGTCCCACTTTCTGAAGGAGAAGATGTGAGACTTAGCAAGCACCGAGCGTCCACGTGTACACGCCAAGGAACAGATACCGTGCCAATGAGCAAACTGTGATTCAGAAAACCTTCTCCCTCTTCCAATCTTTCCTGCTTCGGAGACAGAACGCAAATGTCCCTGCGTTCCAGCTGTAACGCAAGTCTTGCCGCTGATTAAAGGGCAGACCTGGAAACTCTCCGGTGAGCTATGCTCCTAACTATGTCTCCTGCTCACTCCATCCAGCAGACAGAGGACAGCTTTTCCTTGCTGTTTATTCACTGGAGCTGCTGGGGCCCTTCACATTTAATTATGTGTGCTTGCAAAATAAATGTGGAATGAAATGTTCGCATTCCCCGAAGTTGATGCTGTGGCAGGCCGGGATGAGTGAGGATGCTGTCTCTGTGCCGAGCATAGCGGGGGCTTTGAGCCTTGTGCAGACGGATGGATGCTGCGAAAGCCAGAGCGCCTTACATTCCTCTGCTGGGTTGGTACCAGGCATGCACATGTCAGCCTCCTGTTAAGGGCTTTGATATTGGATTTCTTAGAATTCGGAGACAGTTATTCATTTATCAAAGCCTACAAGTTAGTGCAGAATAAACTCTCTGTAAGGCACTATGCTGACTCTTAGCAGAGGAGGCTCCGGGCTGTAGGTTCATTCATTGAATCGATCCTTCATTCGTTCATCCAGTACCCACGGGTGTCTACCTTGTACCAGGCACTGCAAACACAAGGTGAAAAGGACTGGCCTCTGTTGGCTGGAGTTGGTGGGTGACAAGCATGCAATCAGCCTCCCTCGGGCTCCATGTGGGAGACAGGGTCTGTATAACGCCCTCCGGGTGCACAGAGGATGGAGTGACCATCAACCTGGGGAAGGTGCGGGAAGCCTCCAATGGAGGGGCATTGGTGGGATCTTGAAGGGGGAGGAGCGATTTGATTTTCCAGGTAACCAAGTAAGGGGTGGGGAGAGCGTGGGTCCCAGGGAGAGGGGAAGAGCAGCCTCTGACACCTGCCCAGAAGTTTGTTCATGTGTCAGTTCAGGGCGTCTGATGGGCAGGGCAGAGGGTGAGGGGAGAAACGGCCAGGACAGATGGTAAAGATCCGCAAGTCTTGTTTTTCCCTGCAAGTAATAGGATTACAGTGAAGATATTTAAACAAAGGAGCAGCATGGCTGATGGGGGGCAGCATGACAGGTGAATCCGGGAGATGAGAGCCTGGAGGCTGGGAGGTGGGGGTATGTTCCAGCTGCTGGACAGTACTGTGAGGACCACAGCTAAGCAGAGGGGATGGAGAGAGAGGCCGGTCTCGTGAAGTGCTTATTGAGGGGGTGTGTTCTGGGCTGAATTGTGTCTCCCCCATAATTCATATATTGAAGCCCTGACCCCCAGTACCTCAGTGTGACTGTATTTGGAGACAGAGCCCTGAAACAGGTAACTAAGGTGAGTCATTAAAGCAAGGGGAGATGGCCAAGTGAGAGCAGTGGGAGCATCCTCGTTTCTGGAAGGAAGAGAAAGGGAGGGACCAGCACTTTGGAGGATACAGGGTTGAGGGGAGAGTTAGCCCAAGAGGTTTGCCTCTGCCCGTTTGAAGATGGTGCTTCTGCCTCCTGTGCAGCGAAATAAAGATGCTCAGCCCGCTGGTCCCCAGCCTCCCGCCTTTGCAAATGCTCTTCCGTCTTCCACCACCACCCGGCCTCTCTTCTACCCAACACGTGAGGCTAGTGGAGTTGACGACTCTCTTGCATCCCTTCTCTCTCTTCAACCAATCACAGTTCATTTGTCGTAGATCTCTGGCCCTTACACTTTAGTTCTTGATTACGTGGCCATCTTGCTTCCCCCATCCCTTATCACAGCTTCTCCAGGAGGAGGCTCTGCGCATCTCTAGTCTTCTCACTACCCTCCACAGAGGCCTGCACCCAGAGTAGACCCACAGAGAATGGAATCGCATCTCTGGCTGGGAGGAGGGATGAAGGTGACTCATTTTCCCAGGCATCTGTCCACTGTCTGTGTTCCTCTCCCATGATGTCAGGGGTCACCCAGTGGAGTTACCACTCCAGTGATGGCAGAGTTCCTCCTCTGGAAGCAGCCTGGTTTGTATTCTTAATCATAACAATAGACCCCACCACTTACATCTGACACATGACGGGAGGGACTTATGCCAGGATGGTCACAAGTGGGATTGCACCCTGGACAGTGAGTGTGAATGGACTGCTCTACCACCTCCATTCCACAGATGTGCCAGAAGGGCGCAGAGAGGGCTAGTGAGCTGCCCAAGAGAATACGGGTGGGAAAGGTGAAGAGTTGCTTTGGGAATCCAAACCCCAGCTCTGTGCTCCTCCCACCATGGGTGCAGCCTCATAAGATTCTGATATTTAGCACCTATGGGTGCTCACAACACGTGGACGAGATTGGCTGATCCAGTTTGGTGACAGGACAGATTCTGGCTGAATGAGCTGCTGGCAGCAAAGTGGCCAGAGGCTTTGACGAGGACAGACCAGTTTGCAACGTGTGGGTGATGCCCCGTGAGCACATAGGCAGAGACTGGATTTAATTTGGTTCCTTCTTAGAGACCAAATGGCTCAAGATTGGGGAAGGGGGAGCACCTCTGTCCCAGCAGGACCACGTGCTACCATCTAGCAGCATCATCACTAGTCCACAAGAGCACTTCATCTCGTGAGGATTCACCATGGAAGGTGCTGGAAGCTTTATCCTGGGAGGCAGGGGGATGGAAGGGCTGTCCAGGGGCCACCTGGAAAGAAGAAGTACCAAGGGTGGAAAGTTCCTTCATCCTGCTTCCTGCTTACCTTATTTTTAAACTAAGAATAAAAACAACAAAAATAAGTAGAAAATAATACTCAGAAAAGCAAAAAGGAAAAATGAACTAGAAAGGAAAACCATGATGGAGGCAGGTTGAAAGCTGGGGAGAAAGGATTAAAAAGGATAAATTCAATAATCTAACATGATCTGAGGGCAACGTTTAGCTCCTGGACCCTGAAGCCTCAGTCTGGGGACTCAGAGTGGGTGCTCCAGGCACCGGGATGCAAAGCCAGCCCAGGGCTGAGCGCTCAGCCACTGCTCCATGGTTCCCAGTGAGTGTGGAACAGCCTTGTGGGCCTTGGCCTCTGCTCTCGGTCCCTTGTGGCCCCTCTCTCCCCCTGGCGGCTTGTCCTTCACCAGGACATGCTTTATTCTTGGTTGCAGAGTTGCTGGTCCATCTCTGGCTGGGATGCAAAGCACATCTTCTGGTCAAAGTCCTGCAGGGCAGTGCCTTCTGACTCTGCCCTATTCTTGTCTGCTCAACCCTGTTATCAGTGTCATCAGATGCAAACTTGGACCACCTGTGGATAAAACTTGCAAACGACACAAGGCTGTGCAGGACATTAAGTTTGCTGGAAATAATTCTGGATCCAAAAAGACCCTGTGGGCTGGATTTTGCAATGAACAGAATGTGCTGGAATGTGGTCAAGATGGCGCTGCCTCGGCATCCTGGTGTGAGCACCAGAGAGCTTGTACTCTCCATGTCCGATTATGAGAAATGCCAGTCGAAGAACCCTACTGTGGCCAATTTGTCTTATCGTGTTACTTAATGGCACTTACATTAGAGAATATGTGACTCGTGTTTCTTTTTGAATTCCTGCCAGGAAAAAGTTGGTTCTGACTCAAGGCCCACCATCATCCTTTTATCTGTCAGTGGAAATCTGTCATGCTTCCCTTTTTGCATCGTCTTCCAGGAAGCTCTGTGTGAAAGCTTGTGCCAATGTCATAACCATCAAATTTCAAGGGCCTGGAGGAACTAGCTATGTCTTCCTTTCATATATTTGCAGCTTCTCCATTTTGCCTGTACTGCGTGCTGTGTCATATGTATGTTTATTATAAGGCACTTGGATATCTTTATAGACAGACTGGTGAGGACAGTTGGATGGAATGTGTTGGTTTCACGACAAGACATCTGAAAATGACACTTGAAGAGTCAGTCGGCTGTAAATATAGATGAGTCAGGACCATGCTGTGGCTGCCCAAGCATCCCTGGACTCTGGGACTGAAATAGCCCACCACGTCAAGGCTAGAGAAGGTTCTGGTTCCCCTGAGCTGTGCCCCATCAGATCATGTTTGCAGCGTGGCCCTGAGTCCCAGGCTGGACTTTAAGAGGGGTGGGGGCAGGCAAGGTGTGTCTAAGCTGATGGGCACCTTGGTCAGGGAATGAGAAAGACTGACTCAAGGTGGTCTTTCTAAACACTTCCAGATGAGGGGGTCCAGGGCGAGGAGCTGGAAGCTGGCTCAGTACAAGGATTTCCCAGATCATTAGGTCCTATGTGAATTACTGGTGATGAGGTCCCAGTCAAGAGAGGTTACCAAGAAGAGGCATTTGGCTCCTTTCCTAGGATAGTGTAGAGGGGTTTTGTGCACGAAGTGGAGTTGAGCTTCCATCTGGGAATCGATTACTTCACATCCTATTGACAGACTGATGTGGGAAAGCTTCTCAGCCGGTCAACCCAGCCACACAGAGACTCCTGGAGGCATAGGGACCTTCCCAGCATCTGAGCGCATCCTCTTCTCCATTTTTCAGGAATCAACATTTTGCCCTGCAGCCTGCTCTTCGTCTGGTCCCTCGCATGTGTCCCAGGATTCCATTGTGACATCCGACAATTCAACTTCGCAGACATCAATTGAGATCCTAGGGTGCAAAGTCAAGGCAGCCACAGGCCCTTGTCCTCTGGGAGGTCCCACGGCCTCAGGAGAGGCAGCCGCGGGACGGAGGATCACAACAGACTGTGACAAGGAGGTCCATGATGGAAATGTTGGGAGAGGGTGGGGGGTCCAAGACAAGCCCCACCCAGCTTGCATGTGTGCCAAGCCCAGGGAAGTATCTGGTTACAAAGTTGGGTAAGACTCGACCCCTGTGCTTAAGGAGCCCAGGTGGAGGGACTGGGCGTGGTGGGGAGGCAAACCCACACCCAGGTAACCACGTGTCAAGTGCAACTCAAGGCATTACGGGTGCCTGGAGCTGTGCCACCCGGAAGTCACACTGGACAAGGATGAGAGTGTGTGGCATACAGAGGTAAGGGACAGTGAGGCGCAGTGAGCCTGAGTAGGGCGGGACACAGCGAAGAGGCGACCCTTGTGTCCATCAGGTGGGAACAAGGCCATCCAGGCAGATGGGGCCTGGGCACAGGCGTCCACTGCGTCTTTTTGTTGTATTGCCTCCCTAACTCTGGGGCTGTCAATGGCATCCTGCTCCTTGATGATAATGGGGAAACCAATCACACAAGGGACCGGGCTTTCTGATGCTGATTTCCCTTCAACAATTTCCAGCTTTTTAATAGGATTCATCCGCCATTCTAGAG